ACTGCCACCGAACAGGGACTGGCCAGCGAATGTCGGGCCACGGAAGCAACGACGTTCCAGCCACTACTTGATCACTCATGTCATGGACAGGTTCGAGAAGCCGATCAGCCGCAGATCCAGGAGATGATCATCTACAAAGGCGAGGATCTCCTAACCAGGTTCTATGGGCATAGCTACCACCGCAATTTCTATCAGCAGGTATCTCCCTCTCGCCAATTTCCGCTGGTTGACGCCCATGCTAAGCTGTGTCACGCAACTAACTAGTTTGGCCAACTTCGAACCTACATACAACGACTCAAGGCGCAGTGTCCAAGCATTAACAGGCTCCGAGACGAGATTCAAGTCCTAAAGATCTGCTCGCATAACTTGAGGAGTCAATGCAGTGGAGCGAGCGTGGTATATGACTCTGATTTGAAACGTCTAATCCCCGTTCGAGAAGTGGCAGACGAGCTGATCAATGTCTACATCACCCGTTTCGAAGCTACGCATCGTATTTTCCATATTCCAACTTTCCTGGAGGAATACAATAACTATTGGACCAACCCACCAGCAACAAAGTCGGCGTCCATCGTTCACTTCTTGTTGGCCATGGCAACAGCGCTGAGTTGCCGCGAAATTCTGAGCTGCGATCCGAAAGTCGGGGGCAAAAGTGCCATAACCCGTGAGACTGCCACGACATGGATACAAGCCTGCGAGTCTTGGATCTCGGTCAACACTGTGAGACCACCATTTCGTCATCTGACAATGCTGGCAACCAATTGTCTGCTGGTCATCGCCAAGCGAGCAAACCATATACAAGCGAATGAAACTTGGACCACCACAGGGGCCCTTATAAGATCGGCCATGGCTGCAGGCTACCACAGGGAGTCGGACAGCCGAGCGAACATCTCGATATTTCATCGCGAAATGCGTCGCCGTCTCTGGGCCACCATTGTCGAACTTGATCTGCAAGCGGCCTTGGAGCGCGGGATGCCACCCAGCCTGAGAGAGGAGGATTTCAACTCAAGACCTCCATTGAACATCAACGACGACGCAATTCACGAGTCAGCAAGAGAGATTCCAGCGGAAACTCCCCTTGATTCTCTCACCGACACTTCATTTCAAGCGATTGCTTATCGCTCCATAGGCCTAAGACTGAGGATATGCGCTCTGGTCAACAACAGCCATCTGAAACCAGTGGAATCCTTGTTTGACGAGGCATTGTCGATGGACGAGGAGGTCATGAAAGCACTAATCGCAATCCCAGCAACCTGGGTTGGTGCGGCCACTACGGACAAATGGCGGACCCAAAGACCCCTCTACATAAGGACCATGGTAGACATGTTACTCCGGCAGCAACTGATTCTCCTCCACATGCCCTTTGCCAATCGAAGTGAACACGTCCCTAGATTTGGCCACTCACGGCGAGCGAGGCTGGAAGCAGCGACAAATATCCTCGGTCAATTCAGACTGCTTGTGGATTGCGGCGTCCTCCCTCGTTCCAGCTCTGACAATTGCCAATTCCAGGCCGCCATGACCATCTGCCATGAGTTGTACCTGAAAAATGGAGTTTTTGGTGAGCCGGTCCCCTAGCCCTGTTGTATTAGCTGTCAGGAAACTCATTAGTCAAGGGTCTCTCGCCACATTACACGCTGGCCCAGGCCTCGCCGAGTGCTATATCTCCATGGCCGAATGTGTGTTGTCGATGACGGAGAGCCGGATCACGATTCTGGCCAAGGGCCTCAACGAATACTATCTTCTCACCATGGTCCTCGGTCTTGTCAAGTCCAGGTTGTGGGCTGAGCGCGCCTCGTCCTTTGGCGCAGAGGCGGTGGAGAGGATCACAAGGATCATGATCATCCTGGGCTCGATACGCAAGTCGATATGGAGCAACGCTCCAAACGCGGCCGGAGGTGGCCTTGGCCTCCTCTCCGGGTAGGTGTTCCCCCGGGGCGGCAAGAATACGTTCAGATCGTCACACTGACAGGATCTCAGCGCAATGTCCGCGGAAGTGGGAGATGCGATCACAAGCTTCCCAGAAACGTCTGCTCGCGGAGAGACAGAAACATTGAGTTCTATCGTAAGGGCCACCATGCACAGTTGAAGCTGGGTCGTTGACTCAACGTTGACCATATGCTAATTAGAAACAGATTTCACAAAATTTTGACCTCCTCCAGGATGATGTAGATCTCGAGACGTTTGATCTATGGCCCAGCGAAGACAACTTCTTCGTGAATGGCGACTTTGAGTACGCCACAGCCATATAGGAAGGCTGATGAAGAAGCAGATGTTGTACCACTCTCCTTTCTAATCTCCTGCCCAAAGACTTCAGGCCATTCCGCTCCCATAGAGATCTCCCGTCGGCTCATCATGTTTTAACTCGGACTTCCCACCAGATGCAGTGTGATCCATGGAGTCTCCGTAGTTGCCGCCACGATAGTCCTTGGACAATGGAGGTATAATGCCGAGCCCAGGTCCGATAGACCGAACGACAGAACCATGCGATTTGATCCCGTGGATACCGGGGCAAAGATCCATATGTCTCTCGTCGCCGAAATTGCCGAGATGCTGAACCAAGCGACTTTGGTCTGCGTTGTTGCTTGCTACGCATGGCAAATCTCCGTCCGGAGGGTCTCTTGCAGTCGAACATACCAAGCGAGGAAGCAGTCGTCTTAATCGCTCACAACCTGTGATACCACTAATGTTCCATCGAGGTCGAGATCCACTGGGACAGCAGGCTTTTGAGGTATGACAAGACATGCTCCAAGTGGACACCTGGCTGGGAAAATGACTGATATATCAATCCGCCTAGGTAGTATCCACACTCAACACCGAGATGGGGACTGGGAGTCCACCACTACAGCCGACACAGCATCTCCGCGTACCATGTGCAAGACTTTGAATCAGGGCTGTGGCTCCGTGAAGAGCAATGCCTTGGAATGTATAAAAAGCCTCAAGGGGAGCAGACCACTCTCCCTTTCCGTGCTACACATCTCTGAAGGGTTATTCCTACGACACGGGACCTAAAATGGTGGAAGCAAATCAGAAAAGCAAGAGTGAAGGGTCCAGGGACGCTGCATCGGCTCTGGGCTATCCGGAGGGAGGAGCTCGAGCATGGCTTGTTGTGATGGGCTGCTTCTGTGTCATGTTCTACACGTTCGGCTACCTCAATGCTTTCGGGTGAGTTGTTGCGATCGAGCCTCGTCCTTGACTCCCACAAAGTCATTTGCCGTTTTCCGGGCTGCGAAGTAGTGCTGACTTGGGAGCTCATATAATCAGCGTCTACGAGACATACTACCAGCGGGAACTCCTGCATGAATACACCCCGTCCACCATCTCGTGGATCGGGTCGCTACAAGTGTTTTTCCAGTTCGCCGCGGGCATCATCGCAGGTCCCGTCACAGATATCTGGGGACCCAGAGTAAGTTCGAGGCATAGCCCCGTGTCGACCACGAGAAACGAGCCTTGCCTATTGAATATGCTGACGGCACAACAGGTCATCATATGGCCGTTCTCCATCATCTACGTCGCCGCGGTCATGCTCACGAGCATCTGCACGGAATACTGGCACTTCATCCTGGCCCAGGGCGTTCTTGGGGGTCTCGCCAACGGGCTTGCCTACGCACCGGCTATCGCCATTATCGGGCAGTACTTCCACAAGCGACGGGCGTTGGCCATGGGAATCGCCTCGTCCGGATCGTCGTTAGGCGGCGTCATATTCCCCGTGATGCTCAACCGACTCATCTACCATACGCATCTAGGCTTCGGCTGGGCCGTGCGCGTGGTTGGTTTCCTCGTCCTCGGGCTGTGCTTGACGGCATGCGCGACCGTCGTGCCCCGAGTGCCACCCCGAAAAGGCAAATACTTCCTCCTGCACGCCTTCGAGGAGCCAGTATACTCGATCCAAGTGCTGGGCATGTTCTTCTCGTGGTGGGGCATCTTCACGCCGTTTTTCTTCCTGCCCTCGTACGCCGAAGCGCACGGCCTGACGTTGGACATGTCCATCTATACCCTCGCGATCCTCAACTCGGGCTCCCTGGTTGGTCGCCTCTTGTCTGGCTTCGCGGCGCCCCACCTCGGCCGCTTCAATCTCCTGGTCCTGGGCAACTGCGTGTGCGGGATTCTCGTCTTCTGCTGGCTCAGGGTGGTCTCCGTGGCGGCGATCTGTGTCTTCGCCGCCCTTTATGGCATCTTCTCGGGCTTTGTCGTGGCGCTGTTTCCCACCACGATCGCTGAAGTGTGCTCTCACCCTACCGAGATAGGGAGCTATGTCGGGATGGCGCTCGGGTTATATGGCATTGCGGGTCTTACCGGCACGCCCATCACCGGTGCCATGATTGCACGGTACAAGGGGTACGACGAAGCGATTGTTTTCAGCGGCAGCGTGCTGATGGCGGGCGCATCAGGGACTTTCGTCGCAAGGTGTCTTTTTGCAAGGAGCCGTGGATGGCGTGTGTAAGGATAGACGCGGCTACATTGGTGGCGGACGCGAGCTAAGGGCCCATCTTTCGCGCCCGCAAGAATGAGAAGCGTCTACCCAGAAGAGGCATCGGTTAGCGAAGGGCATGTTTGCAGGGAAATCGGGACTTGGGGAGCTCTAATTTGGAGTCAGGGGTTTGGTATGTGGTTGTTTGGGATGCGGCGTAAGGGTTTCCAGATTGTTGATAGAACAAGCCAGGAGATATACAACATACCGAATAGCAACCCTGATCATTGTCAGTACTACTCGCAATGAGACTCTCATCGAATACAGTTGTTCCTCAATTCGGCGTGATCATGTCAGCTCTTGCGCGATCTGTGTCACCCGTACGTATAACCATATCAGTATCTTCGTGAATCTTGTCACTCTGCTCCTCGAGTCGAAACCTGAAGGAAAGGAGCTGAAACTGCCTTGCTTTCCACAAATCACCGAAGGGGGTCTTCAGTGTCGGTTGGCCAGCCTCGTCATTCGGTTCGAGCCTTATCTCAAGGTGATACGACTCTAAGAGTCTACAAGTTGATGGTTTCCCATAGATGTATGTGAATATATTTTCGCTCTTTTATTCTAGCTCGGGAGTGTCCCTTGGGTGCCGTGTTCCGGAAGCAAATCCCGATTCTCTGTGCAGGCTGCGGACACTGACATGAAAATCATCCTACCCAAGATATTCCGGGCATTCTCTGGTGTTGTAAGGCAGGGTGTGCACTGCACCGACAAGCTCCTCCACCGCCGCGGGCGACTCCTTTCGCACTACATCATGGGCCACTCAAGGATCCTTGCTGGAAGGGCCACCCTCCAATGGTGATTCTGAACAGCGCTGGATCAGCCTCAATCTCGGCTTTGCGGGCAACCAGCTCATCGACATCCCAATTTGCCCACAGAAATCTTCCCGACTTGAGAAAGTCGGCCTCCGGGCTCGCGAGCCAGACCATAAAATTCGCTGGTAGTTCTGGGTCGTCCAAGAAGTCGCCGGCCGGAAGCTGACTGAGATTACCCAGGACCTTCTCAGTCATTCTGGTGGCAATGACGCCGGGGTGGACCGTAAATACTCGGAGTCTGGGGTTCTCCTCCGCCAGGTACTCGTCGAGCTTGGCCATGGCCAACTTCGAGGCAAGATACGACGAGGTCTTGGGGAAGTGGGAGGCTCTCAAGTGGCAAGCCGCAGCATTGGTGCTGATGTACGTCGCATTCGGACGGCACTTGGGTAAAAAGTGCTTTGCAAAGTGGGCAGAGAACTTGACGTTGATCTCGAATGCTTTCCACCAGTCGTCTTCATCTGCTCCTGTGAGCGTGGTCAAGTCTGGTAAGTACCTAACAGGCAACGTCAGTTAATGTCCATGCCAAAGCGGTTAAAACCGTGCAACTATACCCTGCACAATTTGCGAAGACGTCCCAGGCTCCCAGTTCTGCTCGGGCGTGATGTGCGGCAATACCGACACTCTCCGTTCTAGATATGTCCGCAGTGGTAATCAAGACCGTGGCGTCGGGGAATGATTGACTGATTGCTGCCTTTGTCTTTTGGAGAGTCTCCTCCGTTCTGCCTATTAAACCGATTTTGCGGGCGCCAGCTTTTGCAAATGCCAGGGCGACAGCAGCGCCAATGCTTCCTTCGCCTGCGCCCGTCACTATCACAGTCTTGTCCTTTGCTGATAACTCTGGCCTCGAGGGGTCAATTGCTGGGTAAGTCGTCTTGCGGTATACCTTTGTGAAGCAAGGATATGCCATGGTCTGAAGTGATTGACGAGCCGTAGACTTATCAACGAGCGAGCTCAGACTGTGGAAATACTTTCCTTGTGTATGTTCTCATAAAGCTGGAAGGCTGGCAAACACAGTCTTCCAATCCGACAGTGTCTCCTCGTCCACCAGGACGTAAAACAATCAGGCCAGGCCACTTTGTTTGAGTAAGGCGTCCACACTGAAGCTCAAGATGCGCCTCAATGTCACCAAGATTGCGCAGCTTGGAGACAGTCCCTTGTAGCCTTGACTGGGTAAGGTCGGCGAAAGTCTACCTCTCAGCGTCACAACTCGATGTGAATAATGAGAGACCTGGCCGGTGCTATAGGAGAACAAGCCCTAGTGTGTGAGCCGCCATTGAATACAACCTGAGAGTACGGAGAAGGGTTCAATTGAACACTGTATAAAATCACCCCGCAGCGGTTATTGTCGGTTGCTGGCTTCCCCTCGAAACATCACCTCATTCCGACGAAAAGTTCACCACATTTTCCATGCACGTTACTGCAACGAAAGCGACCTTTCTCCCGAGCTTCAGTCAACTCACCTCACCACGATGGCCTCAGGAGACGGCAAGCGGCTACACGCCCAAGGCACGCACGAGTCCTCGCTCGAACTCATCGGGCAGACACCCCTCGTCCGTCTGAACAAGATCCCGCAGTCTCTCGGCATCGAAGCCACCGTGTACGCCAAATGTGAATTCTTCAATGCGGGAGGAAGTGTCAAAGACCGGATAGCGCTGCGCATGATCGAAGAGGCCGAGAAGTCGGGAAGAATAAAACCGGGTGACACGCTGATCGAGCCTACCAGCGGCAACACGTAAGGACAATCAATGCTGAGGAAACGACCGTCGAGAATGGTATTTGGCTGATGGACAAAATCTCTGACTACAGTGGTATCGGACTCGCCCTTGTCGCCGCTCTCAAAGGCTACAAGACCATCATCACTCTCCCTGAGAAGATGTCGGCTGAGAAAGTCGCCGTGCTCAAAGCCCTCAACGCAACCATCATCCGCACACCCACACAAGCCGCTTTCGACAGTCCCGAGTCACATATCGGGGTTGCCAAACGATTGGAGAAGGAGATACCGAATGCCCATATATTGGACCAGTACGGCAACCCCGACAACCCGCTGGCGCATGAACTGGGAACCGCAGAAGAGATATGGCAGCAAACAAAGGGCACGGTGACGTGTGTCATCGCCGGCGCCGGCACAGGTGGCACAATCACAGGCCTCGCCCGCGGTCTGCACAAACACAATAGATCAATAAAGATCGTCGCCGCAGATCCCCAGGGATCGATCCTCGCTCTCCCTTCGTCGCTCAACGAGGAATTCGCGAACCAGCCCTACAAAGTTGAGGGGATAGGGTACGACTTCATCCCGGACGTTCTGGACCAGAGTGTAGTTGACAAATGGTACAAGACGGACGACAGGGACTCGTTCCACTACGCCCGCCGCCTCATCGCCGAAGAAGGACTGCTGGTTGGAGGGAGTTCGGGTTCCGCCATCGCGGCGACGGTCGAGGCCGCAAGGGAGCTCAAGCTTGGGAAAGACGACGTGGTCGTGGCAATCCTCCCGGACAGTATCCGCTCGTACCTGAGCAAATTCGTCGACGACGACTGGCTCGCCGCCAACAACCTGCTGCCCCCGACACCACCGCCGGAACCCTCCTCACCACAACTCTCGAGAACCCAGAGCATTAAACAGGACGACACATTCCACGGAGCGCGGGTACGTCATTTGCGCTTAAAGCCCGTCCAGACAGTCACATCGGACAGTCCCTGCTCCAGCGCCATCGAAGTCATGCGCGAAAAGGGCTTCGACCAACTCCCCGTCCTGGCACCCAAGGGTTCCAAGAGATTGGTCGGGCTGGTCACCTTGGGCAACCTATTGTCACGGATAAGCCATGGGCGGGCCACGGGACAGAGCCCCGTGAGCGATGTTATGTTCGACTTCTCCAAGATCAGCGAAGTCACCGTCGACCACACGGATTTCTCAGAGTTGATGACCACGTCCGCGGATGAGGACTCGGAGCCGCAGAAGTTCTCGAGCGACATGAGCGCCAAAACCAAGAGCAAGGGTAAAAGAAGGCACTTCGTAGAGATCACCATGGACACTGCGCTGAGCGCTTTGAACAAGTTTTTCGAGTGGCAGAGTGCGGCCATCGTCACAGAACGCGAATCAAGCGACAAGGGCGGCGCTCTGAAGCCAGTGGCAGTGGTTACCAAAGTAGATCTGCTTACTTGGATGTTGAGCGAGCACAAGCCGTAGCACTCGGGGGTAATAATGGAGACCATGTTTTACCAAAGGCATTGGGATTTAGATCAGATTCAACAGCGTCATCGGGTCAAAAGGTCAGGACGGATTGTACCCCCAAGAGGGCAAACACTGGGAACATTCAACACCGGAATCCCACAGGTGATGGGCGATGCATTCGCAAGGACAAGAGTGGAAGTATCGAAGCAAACTCCATGAGTATTTGGGAGCGATTGAGATATCATGTATTTAAACAATAAACCTGCGTCCGCGAGGACAAGTGACCTATGATGGCGCTGTAAGACTTACCTCGCCGAGTGGAGTGCAGTGTCTGCTACGTCGACCAGAATCATCATCAGGGCAGGGACGAGCCCACCACCGGCAATAAACAAATAGGAAATAGGATAGGATGTCGGATACGGGAGCGGGAGACGGAAGGGAGGCCACGACATCGTAACTTCGGACAAGTCAAAACATAGTGTGCAAGGGGAATAAACGCGTCTTGTGCCGCTGGTGTCGGATTGCTGAACGTCGAATAACGAGCTCGTGGAAGATGGATCGTGCGTTTGAGGCGGAAGGATAGGACGCGGGGATTGCGCTGGGAATACGGGGTGGTGAGATTGCGAGAAGGGGAATTACGACGGCGGCGGCGGGGACGAGGAAAATGCGAGGCCGGGATTGCGGCGCATCGTCGCGGATGAAAGGGAACGAGGCTGATACTAGAGCTGCTGTAACGTCTCGAAGAGGAATAGAAAAAGTGAGGACGGCGGTACATGCTGTCAAGATAGGTATCGTCCGATTGTCCGTATCGACGCTCCGATCGAATACTTCGTACGCTACCGAAGATAACCGTTGACGATCGAGAAGCCGGCTGTTGTACAGGATTGAGCCTGCACCGTTCGCTCGAAGTCGATCTAATCCCATGTCAAGTCAATTTTAACCACCGCTCACTGCTATGCCTGAGGCTCTCAGGTCATGCAAGTTCTGCAATTGAATCATCATAGCAACAATGTCAAGGACGAAAAATCTGAAGGAAACCTAGCACATTCTTGCCCTTTGGAAACGCAGCAACTTGTGGCCTTGCCCAATCGCAAGAAACCTGCTTGCTTGTTCGTTCGCAGTAACAGCATGCTGGGTTTGGCACCAGGTGGGTGTGGGCAGATCATGCTGCCTTATCATTCCGCGGTATCGAGCTCATCGTGAGCCGGGGGAGGGGAGTCCAGAGCTGATACGGGTGTCAGCATTTTCAAATCCAGGCTGCATCGGTATCGATTTCCATCATACCTTTCCGGTCGTCGCCATTGGCAGCGCCATCTCGGTCGTCGTCACGGCGGTCGCGGTCATCCTTCATATCCCGGTCCCGGTCTCGATCACGGTCGCGATCCGCAGGGCTGCGCGAGCGGCGTCGGTCATCGTAATCTCGGTCCCGATCTCTTTCCCGGTCTCGGTCACGGTCACGGCGATCATCCTTACGGGGAGAGTAGTCGCGACGTCGAGGGGAAGGAGAACGAGCAGATCGGCGAGGAGGAGTTCGATCACGACGGCCACGACCAGCTTCGTATCGCCAGGTGGCAGATGGAGGTGTACGGGCCCACTGTAAGTTAAGTAGTCAGACAATGTGTTCGGCGAGGTGTTGGGCTTTTACTTCCATACCTCAATCTTCAAGACATCATCACGACCGATCCGCTTGTTATGCATCTCGTGGTAGGCATCGTCAGCATCGCGACGGCTCTCGTATTCGACAAAAGCGAAGCTGCCAAGGTGTCAGATTGCGTGGACGGCTGGGGACACAGCTCATGACTTACAGACGGCTTGACGCAGTTCTGGGAGCAGGAATGTCGCACCTGACCAGACGACCATAGTGCTCGAACTCATAGGCAAGGTCACGGGCACGGGTGCCATGACCAAAGCCCGTGACATAGAGGGTAGTTCCAGATCGAGACATGATCAAAAATGGAATGGCAAGGTCCAAGGGGCCAGGTGGCAAGCTGATATGTCGTGGTCGTTTTCGTTTCGCGCCGGTCACCAAGCGCCTTTACTCTAGTCGCAAATGACTGTTAATACAATCTCTGGTTGGTAGAGTGAATGCAACAGATGATGGACAAGGTAGAGGGAGGGTTGAATGGATGGAAACTGGAGGAAAGAAGACAGAAGTTGTTTGTCCGCAGCGTTTGCCTCATTTTTAGACGGAAACGGGGCTAAACCCGAAACGGAACAGAAGCCTTGGCACAGCCCAGCCAGTCACTGCCACGGCTAAGTCATCGGAACAGGGCCCAGAGGCCGCAGGTGAAAAGCTGCAGTGGCTCAGACGGCACTTTGGAAAGGTCACGCTCGCCTGCTCGCCTGCGACCTGGACAGGGGAGAACAGACTCTATCACTCTACCAACTGGCACATGCTCTATTACCACACGCTTCTTGCTTCTATTCCTTCATTTCACCTCTTCGATTCTTGAATCCACCTGGTCGACAAGGTCTTTCCCCCCTCGATATCTCCACTCGATCAATTTCCTTGTTCAACCGCGCGATCCTCTTGCCCGAATTGTCCCGTATCCATCGTCCCCATATCGCCTTTCTTCGACCCTATCAGCCCCAGGTGGATGATACAACGGGCCTGTTCCGTGCTGAAGCACCGTCCTTGAGCTCTACACGACATCTGTCTGCAACTGGTGGGAAAAGACGCTTCATAGACACACGATGTTCTCGTACACACACCGAACACCGTGAAGAATTTTCCATGGACGCCACAGCCGCCTTCAACACCAGAATTCTACTTGCTGTGACGCCTGCACACCTGCAACCGTCTTTGTCGACCTTGTTTTATTCGTTACCTTCGCAAAACCCACGTCAGAGTCATGCGTCTGGGAGAGAAGGATCCCGTTACTGTCAACGGTAACATAGGCCAGAGCTCGACCTCTCTACGAGACTTACCAAGTATACCGCAGGTCAGTGACATCGCACCGGTAGATCGCCTGGGCCCACGTACTAACCCGCGTAGAATCCTACCACAATGGCAACATCCGATTTCCTCCTCCCTGTGCGAGAGTTTCTGTCAACACCCTTCACAGCCGCTTTCTGCGCCGGAGGTGTGGCGGGCGCTGTCTCCCGCACTGTCGTTTCCCCACTCGAACGCTTAAAGATTCTGTACCAGATACAAAGCGCCGGTCGCAACGAATACAAGATGTCCATTGTCAAAGCTCTCAAGAAGATGTATACGGACGAGGGCTGGAGGGGGTTCATGAGGGGAAATGGGACGAATTGCATACGCATAATACCTTACTCGGCCGTGCAGTTCGGAAGCTACAACGTCTACAAGCGCTTCGCAGAACCATCACCTGGCGCCGATCTCGACCCCATTCGCCGGCTCGTCTGCGGTGGTCTCGCCGGTATCACCTCTGTCACATTCACCTATCCTTTGGATATTGTTCGTACGCGCTTGTCCATCCAGTCAGCTTCATTTGCCGCGCTCGGAAAACACGAAGGGAAGTTGCCTGGGATGTGGCAGGTCATGATTATGATGTACAAAAATGAGGGTGGTGTCCTGGGCCTTTATAGGGGCATCATCCCCACAGTTGCTGGCGTCGCCCCCTATGTCGGCCTGAATTTCATGGTATATGAATCAGTCAGGAAATATTTTACGGAACCGGGTGAGAAGAATCCTGTCTGGTACCGAAAACTTGCCGCAGGTGCCATCTCGGGCGCGGTCGCGCAGACTTGCACCTATCCTTTTGATGTCCTCCGGCGGCGCTTCCAAATTAACGCCATGAATGGAATGGGATACCAATACAAATCGATATGGGATGCCGTCAGAACCATAATCGCACAGGAAGGGGTTCTTGGGCTTTACAAGGGAATCATGCCCAATTTGCTCAAGGTCGCCCCGAGCATGGCTAGCAGCTGGCTCAGCTTTGAGGTTGCAAGGGATTTCTTGGTTTCTCTCGCTCCAGAAAAGGAGAATGGAGACCCTATTTGAGACCGCCTAAGCCAGCCTGAGATGCATGGCTCTTTCATCCACACGATTCACCAGGAAACCGCTGGGCATCCTTGCACTGCACAGACGGAACGACTCGACACCATTCGAAGCCCGGAACAAGGCACCGCCTGCGCAGAGGGAAGGATTGGATACTCTGATCAAGTATTTTTACCCTTTACAGAAGAGCTGCGCTACTTTTGCAAGGGCTGCTGTATATTCCACATAAATGGGGCATGGCGAAATTTCACGGAGTCAAAAGGTCGGAGGTAAAATGGATTAGAGAGACCTGAGGTGAGGCATTTTCTGGAGTATCAAGACAAGTCTATGACAGAATCGAAGTTTGAGCATTATTTCCAAGAGTAGATCAAACTGAATATCGAATTGGTCGTCCTCATATTGATAGCCTTGGACTCTTTCGCTTTGAATCTCTTCGCGAGTGCCATACCCCCATCAGGATGACATCTTAGAGCAAACTATCCTAAAGCAGCCGGTGCGCTTTGATTGACGGCTGTCGATTTCAAATGAGAAGATATTTATTATGGACGTCTCGTACTTTGACAGGAGCATGGATCTCGTTGGCGGCGTGGCCACGTGACTGCTAAAGTTTTGAATCCCAAAAAGGTTTAGGTTCCAGAAATCTTGGCACGCCGCACAGCGTTCGCACCGGCTAGTTTCTCACGTCGACCAAATTTCCAGATTGACCTTCTGAGGACGTCGCCGACCCTTTCTCAATCAACAATATCCACCACAGCCAGCGATCATGGGTATGTACACCGTCGAAATGGGATTCCTGCGGTGATCTTTAATTGACGTCTGTTTCCAGGTATCGACCTCGATCGCCATCACGTCAAGGCGAGCCACCGAAAGGCGCCCAAGAGCGACAATGTCTACCTCAAGCTCTTGGTGAAGCTCTACCGCTTCCTGGCCCGTACGTTCACCAAGACCCTCGATATCTGAGGAGGATGGAGGGGGAGAGAGATCGTTGACAATCAATCGCAGGCCGGACCGATTCCAACTTCAACAAGGTCGTACTCAAGCGGCTGTTCATGTCCCGCATCAACCGCCCGCCCATGTCCATCTCGCGCATCGCCGGCAAGGTCTCGACCGAGACGGCGCAAAAGGCATACAAGGACAAGACCATCGCCGTCATCGGCACCGTCACGGACGACAACCGCCTGCTCACCGTGCCCGAACTCCACATCGCCGCGCTGCGGTTCACCGCCACCGCCCGCGCCCGGATCGAGAAGGCCGGCGGCGAGTGCCTGACCCTCGACCAGCTCGCCATGAGACACCCGACCGGAAGCAACGTGGTGCTCCTGCGTGGACCCAAGAACGCCCGCGAGGCCGTCAAGCACTTCGGCTTTGGCCCGCACAAACACAAGAAGCCATACGTCGAGAGCAAGGGCAGGAAGTTTGAAAAGGCCAGAGGCAGGAGACGGTCCAAGGGTTTCAAGGTGTAGACGTGACCTACGTGTTAGCCTTCTGCTGCTGCTGCTGGTAGTGGTGGTGGTGGTTGTTCATGAACTGGGACTCCAGGGGGAGGGGGCCGGTGTGGAAGACGGGAATGCCACGACATCTCGAACGCACCAGATGGGTCTATGGGAGATGGACTCTACGGAATTGGAGCAAGAACAACATTCCAAACAAGCAGAGCTGCTCAATCGTCTCGATTCGTCAAACGTCCTGTTCGAAGCGGAAACTGAAAAGGTTCGTACAAGGCGCCTTCGGGCTTTGAGCGGGAGAGAAAGGAAATGGACTGCGTGCGTGGTCGCTGTCAATTTTCCAGACTAGGTGGACGCAAGACGAAAATTCCAATGCATTGATTCCAATGAAAGAAAAACCCCGTTTCGATTCGGTCCTCTGCTGCATTTTGTCTTTTTTTTTTTCCATATTTCAGTCCAACTTTTTCGAGTTGCGTCAACGCCAGGCATGCACATACGTAACTACAGTAGATACTACTGGGAGATCCTCCCCCCCTTCAAGACCTCTCCCCCTCCGTTTTAACTAACAAGGTCATCAGGTCTCAATGCTCTCGTGCAGAAACCTCCTCTGCCCTTCGCCTTCCCCGTACTCCCCGGCGCCTTGACCAGTGCCTCTGATCTTGTACTTGTAGATGGTCAAGCCCTCCAAGCCCACGGGGCCCCGGGAATGGATCTTGTTCGTGCTGATGCCGACCTCGGTGCCGAAGCCGTACCTCATCCCGTCGGCGAACCGGGTGGAGGCGTTCCAGTACACGCCGGCCGAGTCGACGGCGGACATGAACTTCTCGGCGGCGGCGGCGGAGCGCGTGACGATGGCGTCGGTGTGGTGCGATGAGTGGGTGTTGATGTGCGCGATGGCCCGGAGGAGGGAAGGGTCGTTTGCTTCTTCCTCGACGTCGCCGGCTCTGACAGTTGAGGACGAGTGCCCGTTCGGTAATGTGTCGCTGCTGCCGGTAACGCCATTTGAGGACGGAGTCCCTGGGACGGTCTTGACCGCCATGATCAGGTCTAGAAACTCGGTGGTGTAATCCAGGTCGGTCGCGTCCTGCAGTAAAGCTGCGTTCGCGGGACTCAGCACCTCGGCCAGCGCTTTCTTGCTTGGTTCGTCGCACCGTAACCTCACGCCCTTCTTCTGTAGCTCTTCCACCACGCCGGGAAGCACCGTCTTCAACACCGCCTCGTGCACTAAGAGCGTCTCTGCCGAGTTGCACGCCGCAGGGTAGTCGCATTTGGAGTCCACCACCACCTTGACGGCCATGTCCTTCTCCGCGTCCCGGTGCAAGTACACGGAACACAAGCCGTCGGCGTGCCCCAAGACCGGGATCTTCGTGTGGCTCTTGACATACCTTACCAGCTCGTTGCCGCCTCTGGGGATGACGAGGTCAATGTACCGATCAAGGCCGAGCAAATCGTCGATGACATCCCTGGTCTTGACCAACTGGATGGCCGCGACGGGAACCTGGGTGCTGGCCAGGGCCTCGCCGATGACGTTGGCGATGGCCTCGAAACTCGCGGCGCTCTCCTTGCCGCCCTTCAGGATGGCCGCGTTCCCGGACTTGATGGCCAGGGCGGAGATGTTGGCAATGACCTCGGGCCGCGCCTCGAAGATGATGAGCAGGACGCCGATGGGGCACGACACCCTCTCCAGCTCCAGGCCCTGATCCAGTCGCGTGCGCAAATCCACCCTGCCAATCGGGTCCCGCAGGTCCCGCACGTCCAGGATCCCCTTCAGCATGTCGTCGTACTTGCCCTTGCGGCCCAGGTCGAGCCGCTTCAGCACGGACTGGCTCAGCTCCCCCTGCGACGAGGCCTGCTGGGCGAGCGCCATGTCGCGCGCGTTGGCGGCGAGGATCTCGGCCTTGTGCTGGACCAGGGCGGCGTGGATTGCCGTCAGGGCGTCGTTGCGCGCCGAGAGGGGCAGGATGGACAGAGTGTGTGAGGCGAGCGAGGCGGATTGCGCACAAGTGACGGGGCTTGAGCTGGTGAGCGACATGGTGGCTGTTGTCGAAGTTTTTGGGATTTGTCAAGTGCTTCTGTTCTTCCTCCTCTCCCTCCCAGCACCAGACCAGTCTCTTCTTGCACGAACACCTGGTTTGATCTTGGTGAGAAACTCGATGGTCAGGGCGGGCAAAGACTCAGCAACGACCTTTCCTCGCCTTTTTGGGTTTGTGTCAACTCTGAGGGCGACGGCGGATTGAGACAGTCGTAGATCTCAAGGGAGGGAGTTGGTGGCTATGACACTTGGTGACGCTGCGTTGATTGGCGCGCCCTTTCCAAGACGTTTTAAGAGTCATTCGGGACTGGATAACAATAATACAATGTGAGGTAAAGTGGTTGTCATTCGAGATCCTTTTCGCCACCTCTTTTTGCCCACCGCGAAATCTTCACGGTTATATTATTGGCTACGACCTTCGGGGCCGATGGCGGGCATTGGCGGCCTATCCCACCCATAATAACTCTCTGGGTACCGCATATAAGGAGTGCTTTCTAGGTCCCTTAGGTGCTTATAGTCCTTCGTATACAGCCCTCTACCCTGTCGATATGCTGCTGGCTACATTCTGATCTCTATCTAACATACCTATCTACATCATATTTGCTGCCGAGTAAGTGCAACCCTCCTCTTTTGTAAGATATCCTTTTGTAGGTCCTTCTACACCGTACAGTATTTCTGTGTCACACTCTGGAGAGAGACACGGCGACAACAGTTAACCGCTGGATAGAAATACAGGGCGGGTTGGTGGGTGTTGCTCCAAAGGGGCCGTGCACGACGACAGGCCCCAAAGGGTGGCAATCCCCCGACTGCTGTGCTCGACGAACCTGATCTTCCTTCAAACTTCTCAGAAATCGAAGATTCTATTCTCCCGCATCTGGATTTTCTGCCTTTCGTCTATGGGGTTTCATGTCTCATCAGCTCATCATGCCTTTCTAGTGCTACAATGCTCGCAGCAACAATAACAATAACAGCGAGGGAACGGCGACGACAGCAAAGTCCGTCCTTCTGTGTCGCGATAAAGATATTGTCCAAGGATCATCTTTTCCAAGCATAGGTCCACTTACTTCTTGACCAACAAACTCGTCCCACTCATTTCTTCGGGCTGGTCGACTCCCATCGCTGCTAAAACCGTCGGCGCGACATCTCCAAGAACACCGTCTTGCTTCTTCAAGCTCCATCCTTCAGGCGCATTGGCCATGACAAAGGGAACCTTGTTAGTCGTATGCGAGGTCTTGGGCTTGCCTTCTTCGTTCAGCATTTCTTCGGCGTTGCCATGATCGGCTGTCACAAAAAGGATATAGCCTTCCTTCTTGCAGGTCTCGTACACTGTGCCGATGGCGGCATCTGTGGCGGCGACTCCCTTGATTGCTGCTTCGTAAACACCGGTGTGGCCGACCATGTCGGGGGGCGCGAAATTGTTCATCAAGAAATCGTACTTTTGATCCGATATCCTTTCACTGAGCTTGTCTGCCACCTTTTGAGCGCTCATCGGGGGGTCGAGATCATAGGTTGCAACTTTGGGACTGGGGATCAACTCTCGCTCTTCGCCATCGAATTGTTTCTCCACCCCTCCGTTGAAGAAAAAGGTCACATGGGCATACTTCTCCGTCTCGGCGACGTGGCATTGTTTCAGGCCTTTCTTACTCAGCCACTCGGCCAGAACATTGCCCATGTGCTGGGGTGGGAAAGCAATTGGGAAGGTATAGTCGGTCTTGTACTGCGTCATGGTGGTGATTGCAATCCCCTTGGGATAAGGGAAGTCTGGTTTGGGAGATCGATCATAGTCGCCCAAAAGCTGAGTGATTTCTCGGACCCGGTCGGACCGGTAGTTGAAGAAGAACAGGGTGTCGTTGTCTTTGATCCTCCTCTCGTCTCCGCCGACGATGATGGGCTTGAGGAACTCATCGTTCTCCCCTTTCTCGTATCGCGACTTGATCGTGGCGACGGGATCGGATGACTCTTCTCCTTCGCCGAGCACAATACCTTTCATCCCGATCTCCACCCGATCCCACCTCTTGTCTCGATCCATGATGTAGTAACGGCCCACGACCGTAGCCAGCTCACCGATGCCCAGCTCTGCCAGCTTGTCCAGTAACTGCTGCATGTATCCCGCAGCACTCTTGGGGTCCGTGTCTCGGCCGTCTCCAAAAAAGTGGATGAAGACTTTCGGGACCTTCATCTCCTTGGCGACTTGCAAGAGGGCGAACAAGTGGTTGATGTGACTGTGCACGCCTCCGTCGCTGATGAGGCCGAGAAAATGGAGTCGGCCATTGCCATCGACCGCTCGCTGGAAGCATTTTGTGATGTTGGAAATCTTGTTCATCTCGCCCTTCTTGATGGTCTGATCAATCCTCACAACATCTTGCCAGACGACTCTGCCTGCGCCAATATTGAGATGGCCAACTTCAGAGTTTCCCATCAAGCCTTCCGGGAGCCCAACAGCGAGGGAGGAAGCCTCGAGCTCGGTGTAGCCTTGAGCAGTTTTGGAGCAATCTCTGGCGAACTCGTCCATGACGGGGGTCTCGGCGGCAGCAATTGCGTCGCCTTCTGGAGGAGAGCTCTCGGACGGGATCCCCCATCCATCGATGACAACTGGCGACGGTGTTAGCACGGTTTATTTCAGAGCAAGAGGAAGTTCGAAGTCCTACTCAAAACAGCCTTGTGCTCGACCTTCGTCATGGCGGTGGAAGCTCTAGGAGCTCGTGGATTGGACTTGAAGAGGGGGGGGGAGAAACTGCAGGCTCAGCGATAGAAATGGTGCGAAAATACGGTCGACCGTGGCTCAGGACGTTCGCAACTGTTTCAACACAATTGACACCATGTACTAGGGGTGAAAAATAGGTACGAGGATAAATTTGGTTGACCTGGGAATGAATTGCATTGGGGAGGCTGATTGGACAATGACGGCACTTTTCGCAGCCAAGTGGTCAGTTTGGCGGGGCAAAAGGACGAAGCTGGCACTGGGCACAAGGAATTCGGGGGGTTTTTTCGCTGAAGGAGGGGCATGTGGAAGGGGGGGGAGCGGACCTTTCCCAGGGACAAATCTCAGCGCCAGTGGCGAGTGCTTTAGGCGCTTTAGGCGGGCTGGTCGTCCCTTCCCAAGCGCCTGAAGCTGTCCCAAGTTCCCAACGACCGCCCACCAGTCCATGTTGCTGGCTCAGTTGGTAGCCAAGGGGGCCCTGTTCCGGGGGGGGGGGGGGG